TGCTGTCTCTGTGCCCGGCAGTGCACTAAGCATTACCAATAAGAGCAAAGAACAGATATGGTTCCTACTTTCTAGTAAACAAATAAGCACACGAACCTGTATGTCATTTTACAGACTGCTAAGTGCTATGGAGGACAAGTAAAGAAGTGTGGTAAAAGATCATAACCAGTATCTTGTTTAGATAGGGATGATAGAGAAAACTTTTCTGAGGAAGGAGGGTCAGAAAAAGTGTGGTTGGAGCTCACTAAACAAAGGGGAGAAGGGTGAGAAGTGGCTGGCAAGGAGGTGGTAGAGGCCAGCTGTACCGGGCTTGTAGGTCGTGATGAGGTGTTTCTCTTGTGCAGGGGAAACCAGTGAAAAATTTTAAGCATTGAAAAAGATAAGCCTGGCCGTGTGCGGTGGCGCGTGCCTGTAGTCCTAGCACTCTGGGAGGCTGAGGCAGGAGGATTGCTTGAGCTCAGGAGTTTGAGAACAGCTTGAGTGAGACTCCATTTCTACTAAAAACAGAAAAAATTAACCAGGCGTGGTGATGTGTGCCTGTAGTCCCAGCCCCTTTGGGAGGCTGAGGCAGGAGGATCGCTTGAGCCCAGTTGTTGGAGGTTGCAGTGAGCTATGATGATTCCACTGCACTCTAGCCAGGGTGGCAGAGTAAGACTCTGCCTCCAAAACCAAAAAAAGCTCTAGTCTGTTTTTTTGTAGACATTGACAAGTTGATAAAATTTATATGGAAATGCAAAGGACCTAGAATAGTCAAAATTTTGAAAAAGAACTTATACTATCTGATTTCAAGGCTTTCAATTAATATAAAGCCAACAGTAAGAAAGACGGTGGTGTGCATTGGCATTAGGATAGTCACATAGATCAATAAAACAGAATAGAGAGTCCAGAGATAGCCCCACACACATATGGTCAGCTAATTTTCAACAAAGGTGCCAAGGTAATTCGGTGGGCAAAGTAATTATTTCAACTAATGGTGCTGCAAGAACTGTGCATCCATATGGGGGGAAATGACCTTCAACCCTTACCTCACAGCAATACAATAATTAATCCAAAATAAATCATAGATCCCAACACTAAAACTATAAAACTTCTAGAAAAAATAAAAAAGAAAATCTGTGAGTTTAGATTAGGAATGATTTTTTAGGTCACAAAGCATGACTCTAAGAGAAAAAATTGATAAATTGGATTCAATCAAAATGAAAACTTCAAAAGATTAAAAAGCAAATCACAGATAAAATATTCACAATACATATATTTGATAAAGGCTTCCTGTGCAGAATATATAAAGACCTTAAGTCTGGTCAACAACAAAAAATAGTTAAAAGATTAGAACAAACATTTCACAAAAAGAGGTATACTAATGTCCAGTAAGCACATGAAAAAATGTTCAACATCATTGGTCATCAGGAACATACAAATGAAAACTAAAGTAAAATTCTACCACCACTCCCCACCAGGATGGCTAAAATGAAAACTGATTACAATATCAAGCACTGGCAAAGATACGGAGCAACTGGAACTTGCAAAATGGTACAGCCACTGAAGAAAACAATTTGGTGTTTTTTTGGCAGCAATTCCACTCATGAGTATTTACCCAAGAGAAATGAAAGCATGTCTACCCCAGGAGTTGCACTTGAGTATTTGTAGACATTTTATTCATAATATTATAACTTCAAACTGGAAACAACTCAGAAGCCATCATGGTGAATGAATAAACAAATTGTCCATATGATAGAATATTACTCAGCAATAAAAAAGAACAAATTACTGATACCTATGATAAGATGGATGACTCTCAAAACATGCTGAAAGAAGCTAAACACAAAAGAATACACAAATGTAACTCCATTGATATGAAATTCTAGAAAAGGCAAAACTAACCTATGGTGACAGAGTGGGATTAGTGGTTGTCGGAGTCAAGGGTAGGGGGTGGGATTTAACTATACAGAGGGACTATTAAAAGATAATTTTCAAAAAAGCATAAAATCAGGCCGCGCGTGCGGTGGCTCATGCCTGTAATCCTAGCACTCTGGGAAGCCGAGGCGGGCAGATTGTTTGAGCTCAGGAGTTCGAGACCAGCCTGAGCAAGAGCGAGACCCCCGTCTCTACCAAAAATAGAAAGAAATGAATTGGACAGCTAAAAATATATAGAAAAAAAATTAGCCAGGCATGGTGGCGCATGCCTGTAGTCCCAGCTACTTGGGAGGCTCAGGCAGTAGGATTGCTTGAGCCCAGGAGTCTGAGGTTGCTGTGAGCTAGGCTGACGCCACAGCACTCACTCTAGCCCGGGCAACAAAGTGAAACTCTGTCTCAAAAAAAAAAAAAGCATAAAATCATGACTTTTACAGATATAAAAATGAACACGTTAAAGATTTTATTTAACTTATTAATGAGGAAACTGGTAAGAGTGTTAAAACCAGTTCAAAGGAGATATTGAAAAACAAATATTTATAGATCAGGAATAATGAAATGAAGGCAAAACTGGTTTCTTCCACTCTGGGAGAGGGAAGTCAATTGAACAGGACAGAATTTGCATTTCCTTTTTTTTTTTTTTTTTTTTTGAGACAAGGTCTTGCTTTGTTGCCCAGGCTAGAGTGCAGTGGCATCATCAAAGCTCACTGCTGCAACCTCAAACTCTTAGGCTCAACTCTTAGGCTCCTGCCTCAGCCTCTTGAGTAGCTGGGACTACAGATGTAGGCCACCAAACCTGGCTAATTTTTGTATTTTTCGTAGAGATGAGGTCTTGCTATTTTTGCTCAAACTGGTCTCAAACTCTTGGCCTCAAGTGATCCTCCCGCCTCAGCCTCCCAAAGTGCTGGAATTACAGGTATGAGCCACCCCACCTGGCCCAGAATTTACATTTCTATAAACAAGAATTATTTTGCTTTGCTACCAGTTACCTACAACCTACAAAGTAACAGCTCAGACAATAAAAGACAACCTGAAAGGATGTACTGTATGTACACAATGCACAGTTTTCCACTGATGCGTAGTTTTTGCCTATAGCACATGGAAGAAAATTGGAGTGAAGGGAAGGTTTTATAGCATGATTGTGGTAGTGGTTACATGGATTTATACACTTGTCCAAACTCATTGAACCATACGATTAAAATGGGTGTGTTGTATTATATGTAAATTAGACCTCAGTGAAGTTGATTAAAAAAAGAAAAAGATAATCAGCTTCCTGGCTGGGTGAGAACAAGAGTGGGTACAGCAGGACCAACTAGGCTCTTACAGGATAGCATTCCCCGGGGAAAGGTTTGGTGGAGTCCAGTGGTAGTGACTGACACAGAGATAGCTACTCAAGAACGAACGAACTCCTTATCTTCCAAGTCTGGTTTGATTTTGTGGAAGGTGCAAAAGTGTGTTGAAAAGACAAAATATTTGGCTGAATGTGAAAATACTTTTACAAAAAAAACAAAAACGAAAAAGAACAAAGTGTTCTCACATTTAGCCTAGTAAATGTAATGTAATGTAGCAGGTGCTCAAAAACTAGGTTTCTTTTGGCTAACATTGGAGTGTTTGCCATGTACCAGACATCTTACTAAGCTGAACCTTATGAAATTGCCAATATTCAACCTTTTATCCAAAACATGGTTTCTTCGCATAGTTCATCCTACTAAAAATTCTTATCACGGATTCTCATTTTCTCTTCACACTCATGGGGTAGGTAACCCCCTCCCACACACTCACCTTTATAGATGACAACAGCACCGAGGCCAAGTAACTTGTCCAATAATATTACCTACTTAGTAAAGGGTAAAAGCAGCATTCAAGCCCCAATGGCCGACTCCAGATGCAGGCTCAAAACAGCCCTCAGCCTGTGCTCTCGGGAACAGTAGTTTTGGAAAACTGCACACCCCTCGCCCCCAGAGTAAAACTCTGGTTCCAGCCAGACCCCAACAGTTCTACACCAATGGCTGGGCTTTCTGGCCATTCTCTCCACCACCTCCAAGGATCCCATGCCCTGAACCCCGAGTCATCCCTTGTGCTCCTTCAAGTGGCCCCTGGGTGGCATCTCCCTAAAGTCTTCCGCCGCCCCTCACTGACCTGCCCTCACCCCTCCACCTGTCCTGTGTCACTGCGCTCACACTCGCTAACCGCCCCCTCCCTGCCCCTCGGAATTTCTGATCTTTCCCAAAGGTTTTATTTCAGTCACTCAGAGGCCATCATGCTGACCAACGTGGCCTACGTGAAAGAATCCAGGATAAAATTAGATGACACCCAGTTGCGGGGCAGGATGGCCTGACCACTCCCCTCAAACATGTCTCCCTGTTATCCTTCTGGGACTTCATCTTCTCATTCGAGTCTCAACTTTCTTCTGGCTTTGAAAGTGCTCTGAGAGCGCTACGAGGAAAGTGGGTGCAGAAAGGCAGGCGCTGTGTCATGGCCTGTCCTCTGGCCTCCACCTCAAGTAGAGGAGTTGGAAGAGTTTTGGGGGAGTCGCTTCCAGGCTTCCTCCCCAAGCAAACCTACCTCGATGCATAAATAAAACATTTGCCCAAGTCTGAAGACTCTCGCCACTCGCCCACTGGCCTCGCGCACAAGGCCCTGCCTGGCCGGGTCGCAGTCGCAGCGCCGTCGGGGAGGCGGAGGTGGCACCCGGCCCTCACGGCCCCGGGGGAGTCGCAGCGCAGGGCTGGAGAGCGCCGGGCGGCAACTTCGCGGGAACAGAAATTTGCTTGAGGCTGCCACGGCAGCCGCAGGGACTGAGGATGGGAGGCGGCTAGATAAAAAGGAGCCTTCCGCTGGGCCAAGACGTGCCCAGGAGCGCCCAAGAGCCACTCCTGGGGAAGGCGGGGGGCATCCGGTGCGCTGACCCGGAGGGTGTGCGAGTGCGCGCCCCCGCCCCGCGCGCGCCCCCTCGCGGCCACCCGGACGCCCCTCATTAGTTCCCCGCGCCGGCGCGGCCCGGAGCACGCGAGGCGGGCGCCCACAGGCTGGCCCCGCAAAGCTGGAGGTGCGGGGGCGCGGGGCAGAGCGGCCGCCGGACGCAGACGATGCGTCGACTCCCCCGCCGAGCGCGGCTGCTCCTCGGCGTGGCGCTGCTGGCGGCGCTGCCGGCCGCGGCGCGAGGGCTCCCCCCTGAGGGCTCCCCCTGAGGAAGCCGCGAGGCTGGCGGAGGTGAGCGGCGGGGCGCGGGGCTGAGGCGCGCGCGGTCCCTCCTCCGCGGCCCGCCGCCTCTGGCGGCACGGGGAGCGGGACCGCGACACGGGCAGCGGCCACCCAAGCGAGAGGGGCAGGGGCCGGCGGGACGCCCCTAGGCGCCGGGCGATGGCCAGGTGCGCCGGGTCCAGGGGTCCCGCTCCCTGTGCGTGACCGCGAGCCCTGGCCGGGCTGCAGCGGGCCAGCCTGGGGGAGAGTTTCACTTCCGTGCCGGGTGAGGTGGGCCGACACTCTGCAGGGCCCGGCTCCCCGCTCCCTCGCCCTGAGCGAACTTCGCCTGCAGCCGCCTGGGCCAGGTGCGCTCGTCAGAGAGGAGTCGCTCCAGGTGCGAGAGGAACGGGGCGCTCCGCGGAGTGGCAGGCTGGGGCTGCCGACGTTCCGTCGGACACGTTAGCCCCTTCGGGGGACCTGAGACAAGCCCAGGTAGAGTGGGGTTCTCCAGCTGCTGGGTGGCGGTGGTTGGCCTACATTGTTCTGTTCCTGGAAAATCAGAAGACGTCACTAAGATGTGGTGGGGCGCTTTCCTGGTGGCCTGTGGGTGGGCCTTGGGGGTACAAACCAAGAATGAGATGGAAGAGTGACTTGGTCGTGGAGAGAGGCCATGATCAGGACCCCAGTCACTGGGGGGTCTACAGTCCAGCTTGTTGCCCCCTGGATTGTAGTGGACATTCGCCCCCACAGGGCCCGAGCCGGCCAGACTGGTATCGGGGTATGCAGGAGCAGGCCTGTGTGGTCTTGGGGTCCCCGTCTTTCCACGCGCTGAGCTGTTACAGGAGGCGGCCGGAGTAGTGCTTCCCATTTTCCTGATGAGACCACTGAGGGGCGAAGGCGGGCGTGCAGGGTGCGGGAGACTGTGAG